ACTGATTTCTCGAATCGGCTGTAATCAAAGATGGGAAGAAAAGATCTTGTCTAAGCCTGCATGCTCTAAAGAGCTGTTGGACTTTATGGAATACAAGGGAAGAGGAGAAAACACCGATTCTGTTCCTGGCAGTATGTGGCAATTCCACTGTGCCAATGAAGGACTTTTACTTCATGGAATTTGAAGTATTATCTTATCTTCAAATTAAAATATTAGCCAAAGTATAATGAAACCAGAGTTTTTCCCTTGACTCAGATTAAACATAAACAAAGTCAAAAGTGGATTCTTCTTACAAAATGAAAAATCTTACAAAAGAACTTTTTAAATAAAAGAACAATGTGTTCAGTTTTTTGTAAATCTCAGTTGCTACAATAGATGATTTGTCTTTATAAATGGGACATCTCATCCAAATATTATGGACAGTTTTCCAAATAGTGACTGCAGAATGGGTAAATTAGTGGTGGTTCCGGGGTTTTTGTACTAAAAACTGCCTAGAGAACCTGTTTCTAAGGGGGGGAGGCTATAACTAGCTTCTTGGGGAATGCTGAAGTGTTCTCGGGTACTAAACTGTACTAGGGTCAGAGGTTTGCTTTCATTGTCTCTAGGAATTTCCATATTTCAACACTCTTTTATTATCTTTTTGTAATATGGGGATTGAACCCAGGAATTCTGTGCCATTGAGCTACATTCCTAACCCTCCCCCCCTTTTTTTAAGTTGTAGATGGATACAGTACCTTTAGTTAATTATTTTATTAAAATTTTTTTTTTAGTTGTAGATGGACACAGTACTTTTATTTATTTATTTTTATGTGGTTCTGAGGATCGAACCCAATGCCTCACACATGCTAGGCAAATACTTCACCACTGAGCCATGGCTCCAGCCTATGTATTTATTTTTTTTATGTGGTTCTGAGGATTGAACCCAGTGCCTTGCATGTATTAGGCAAGTACTCTCCCACTGAGCCACATCCCCAGCCCCCTAACTCCTTTTATTTTTTTTACTTGGAGACAAGATGTTTCTAAGTTTCCTAGACTGACCTTGAACTTAATGATCTTCCTGCTTCAGCCTCCCGAATTGCTGTGATTACAGGCATGAAGCTGTGCTGGCTTTAATGCTTACTTTTAAGCTAAGTATCTTCCTCTTGGCCTTTCTTATTTCCAAATTTGGATGAATAAAAGAGTATCAGATTTGCTACTTTTTCCTAAGCAGGCAGAAGGTGATTGGTGACTTAGCGAATGGCTCCATGTGCCACCTGCTTTCTTTGCTCACAAGTTCTACCAGATCCTCACAGGTGAGATACCAACCTCTGGAGCTGCAATATGTATTACTCTTCTTTTTTAAAAAAATTCTGAAGGGCATTCAGAGAAAGTTCTTTTCCTTGTCTTATATTTTCATCTGCCACTTTGCTAAGAGATTCTGCGCTTTTAACAAATATTAATAAAATACCAAATGGGGTCCTGAGGATCTTCCTTGTATACTGGAAGGAGGCAGGGCTTCTGGGTCAGATACCCAGGAATCTGTCCAGTTAGAACGTGATCACACATACCCAGGAGAGGAAGTATTCCTGAGTGCATTTTAGTGGTGTCAGTACAGAAAAGGAAGTGGGAGATAGCTTGAGACTATCTTATACTTTGAATTTCTCCAGAATACATTGCAACTTAACCTAGTGTGTAAACCAACTAAAATATAATTTAGGAGTATATTTTTTGGTAACAGATATTTGGGTTTCAACCAGCCACAGGTAGACAACTGATCAAACTCTGTGTAAATACGGCAGAAGCTGGCCGTAGCCCTTCAGATGACTTCTCTACTTTGCACTTGGCCTATTGAAGGTCACTGCTCACAGTGCTGGGCTGAACTCTCTGGTCCCCTTCTGGTTCTAAGTGCTTCCTGATTCACAAATCATTCTTTGTTCAGACAAACTCTGTGATATTTAATTTGTCTAAAGTTTTTCTATTAACAGTAGCACTCGAGTACTTAGCCCCGTAGCTGACCCCTCTTGGTTGTGTGTATGTGGAACCACCAGACATGGCTGCCCTCATAGCTGGCCCTTCCTGTGATGGAAAAAGTGCAGCTTCTTTCAGTGGATTGTATCTGAGAGGAGGGTTGAGATTAAGGCAGCCTAGATGGTCCCATTATAATACCCCCAGCCATCTTGGTCCTGCAGGGTCTCCTCCCTTGATGTCAGTGCTGGGGATACCTCTTCGATTCTGAGATCAGGACAGGGAAGATAACTTGTTTGGTCCCTATACATTTCATTTCTTCCTCCCTTTCTTCCTTTCAGCAAGGTATGGTCAAACTCATGGGCTTCTGGGGCAGAGCTGAGTTGCTCTGAGCTCCAGCTCCCTTGCTGATGGTGGCATTCCCACCAATGGATGGACACAGGGGTTGCGTGGCGGGAAGTATTGGTCCACAGCTCACTGCAGAGTCTCATTCTTTGCTTTAGAAATTTGGTGCATCTCTGTTTCTGAACGAGTTTCTAGGGGCTGACCATGGTAGCATGATGATCATACATCCTTGTATAAATGAAAAGTGACACTGATGAGCTGGGGATGTGGCTCAACTGGTAGCACGCTCTCCTGGCATGTGTGCGGCCCGGGTTCGATCCTCAGCACCACATACCAACAAAGATGTTGTGTCCGCCGAGAACTAAAAAATAAATATTAAAAATAAAATTCATTCTCTCTCTCTCTCTCTCTCTCTCTCTCTCTCTCTTCTCTTTAAAAAAAAAAAAAGAAAAGTGACACTGAACACAGCTAACATCTATCGTAGTAGATGCAGCAGGCTTAATAATAGAGTAAGGACATGCTTCAGTATGCAGTCAGCTCTGCTGTAGGTAGCATAGGTGGTCCTAAGAATCATCCCGCTAAGCAAAATCATGCAATAAAACCATAGCCCTTCTGGGAAGAAATGGGTAAAAGGATTAGCACTCAAGAAATTTGTCAGTGCCACATAAACCATCTAGGAGCTTAATACTAATGGTAGCACAGCTTTACACATGTTCAATGATTAAGAAGTACAYGGCCCTGCTGCCAAATGGCAATTTCCCTGGACAGTTCCTGGAGTTGCCATGTGGAAGCAGGTGGTGGGAGGGCAGGGGCTTGTGGCTGTTACTGTGAGCTAAGTAACTCATCCTGAAATCAGATGGAACATGTCCCATCCATACCATGTTGGACCATCTGGTGCAGAACTTGAGGTAAATGGAGGTGGCTGGTGGATGACTGGGTTTTGTGTACTTCTGTGTGACCACTTTTAGCACAGGGAAGTTTCTGTGTTCATCCAGTCTTTCTCACATACAAAAATCATGTATAAGTGAACACATAATTCTTTTTTTTTTTTTTTTTTTTTATTGTTGGTCGTTCAAAACATTACATAGTTCCTCATACATCATATTTCACAGTTTGATTCAAATGRGTTATGAACTCCCAATTTTATCCYGTATACAGATTGCTGYATCACATCAGTTACCCTTCCATTGATTGACATATTGCCTTTCTAGTGTCTGATGTATTCTGCTGTCTATATTATTCTCTACTATCCCCCCTCCCCTCCCCTCCCCTCCCCTTTTCTCTCTCTACCCCTTCTACGGAAACGAGAAGGGGAATCGCATGGAAATGGAAGGCGATCCTCAGGGTTATACAAGATAATTCAAATGGAAGAAGTGATTTACATAATTCTTATTATATTATTCTCTCATGTATCAGTTACATTGGAACAAAATGGCATGTTCAAAACAAGCATCATAGCAGAATAGACTGTATGTAAGCTTCCTTGAAAAGGCCACCTTCCCCACATTTCTCACTTTTCCTAATAAACTCCTGCTTGTTACTGTGGGGGGGGAAAAAAAGAAAAGAAAAGGCTACCTTCCTCTAGGCAGTACCCAAAGGAGAAGTAAATGAAGTCAATGTAAAACACAAAGGCTCATGGGACCATTAATATCCTTTTTAAAGTGATAAGCAGAGCAGGCTGAGGCAGGAGAATTGCAAGTTTTGAGGCCAGCCTCAACAACTAAGTGAGGTCATAAGCAACTTAGCAAGACCCTGTCTCAAAATAAAAAGTAAAAAGGGCTTGGGCTTGGGTTGTAGCTTAGTGGTAAAATGCTCCTGGGTTAAGTCCCCAGTAGCAAAGAGGTGGGGGGGGGAGGTGATAAGCATTATAAAAAATGTTTGTATCCTCTGAGTATAGATTGCTGTATTCCAGGTGAGTAGTTACAGGGAGGGTGTTGCAGATAACAAGTATGTTGGGGTGGTGCTACTTGGCTGTATTTGTACTGTTAATGCTCATGGTTTCTCTGAGTCACCTGCCACCTTTTCATCCTTCCTTTAGCACAGATGAGCCCCTCTCAGCACCCAATTTCATATTAACTTTCTCATAGACTGGCCTCTTGGATGATCAGTAAATAATAGTATGCTGTGTTTCTCGATTCACCTGGATTTCTTGTAAAGATCCTCTGTGAATGAATCCCATGCTTTAAACAAATTTTATCATGAAATATATGATGGTAGGAGAACATGGTTGGCCAAATAATTTGTGCCTTTAACAGAGTGTGTTGCCTGAACAGGCAAGAGGGTCCATAAATAAACTTTGGAGAGGTCCATAAAACCCAGAAATTGCATATGTATTTTTGTCCTAAGTGTATTTTGGAAGGAAAGGAACCTCAGCTTTCATCACATTCCTAAAGGGATCTTTGGCCCTGATATGACCAAGAAATACTGATTTCAAAAATCCACAAATATAGACTCATGTGGGTGGTTTAGGGGATTTACAGGGTACTTTTTGTGACCCAGGACACTGATCCCACAAAGAGGGGCTACTGTAGTTTCCTCAGAAACGTTCCTGGATGCCACATTTAGCAACAGCAGGGAGCTGGTGTGACCACTGGGTCAGTGTGATGCTTCATCTTTACTGCTTTTTCTAAATTCAGTGGTGAAGGGTTTTCTGGCTGGTGGGCTCTGCCTTACAGCCATGCATCTCATGTCTCCTTGGCTTTGTTTTCCAGATGGGAGCAGCGAGAGCTGCCCAATGGCCGAGTCTATTATGTTGACCACAACACCAAGACCACCACCTGGGAGCGGCCTCTTCCTCCGGGGTAAGGCCTGAGATTCTAGAACTGGTGTAAGAGTCACTCAGTGGCTTTTCCACCATTTCCTACCACAGCTCTTTCTCCCTGTTCTCTCCTTGGTTTTCTTTCCCTTCCCCATCTACTTTCTCTCCTTTTTCCTCTGTTTTCCTTTCTCTCTACATGCATTGCGTTGGCCATGACTGATGGCGATGGGCTGTATTAAGTGGGGTTCAGAGCTGACATGAAGGTAGGCGGGCAAGGAAAGCCTTCTGGGCCTCAGCGTCTTGATGCCTTAGTCACGTCACCATACAGAGACATCTCCTTAGGGCCAGGTGTTCAGTTCATTTCTTTGAAGGTAGCAAAGCATGGTGATATTGATCTTGGATCATTTGACTTTTTTTTTTTTTTCATCCAGTTTCCTTAATCCTGTTCTCATTCTTAGAATGGACTAGAATTTTTAGAGAATCTCTGGGGAGTAGGCTCAGTGGCAAAGTGCTTGCCTATAAGGCATTCAACCCCAGGCATCAAAGACAGACAGACAGACACACATGCACACACACACACACACACACACACACAGAAGAGAGAGAATTTCTGAGGGATAAAAAGGCACGAGAAGGTGGATAAAGAAGACTGATGAGTTTCTCTGCACCAACGTGCCCCAAAAGGCAGTCTTCTCATTCAGCTGGACTTGGTGAGAACACAGTTGGGTTCTCCAAAACCAAAGGATGAGAGAGGCTTCCAGGGGAGGGAAGACTGTCCAAGTTCAAGGAGAAGGGGTTGGATTTCCTGTTTGCCAGGGACAGAAAGTTCTTTGCACATGTATCTCCCAGTCCTGAGAAAATGTATTCTGCTGCCAGGAGAGAATCACCCCCGACTAGAGCAGCCACGAAAGGGTTCCTGAATAAAATATGAGCACTTCCCCTTCCAGAGTGTGCCCAGGAAGGGAGTCAGTGGTAGGGAGACTGGGAGAGCCCCGGTGCTTTGTTGGGCTCAGCTGTCAGGCGTGTGCCAGGCAAACACCACCTCACCTTCTGGCCCTACAAATTTCCATGGATGGGCTGCTTTTAGCTTCAGTTTCCAGTAGAGTGCTTGAGTTTTCCTCCTCTTCCTTGCCCGCCTCAGAATGGAACTCATAATTTGTCATCGTTAGTGCTCACTCTGTTTTCTGCTTTGACTTGAAGTTAAATAAGTTACCAGAGTTGAACATTGACATCTTAATTTAAAATAATACTAAAATATTGTGTTATGTGGCAATGATGGAAAATATCGTATTATTTTGGAAACTTTCAAGTATAATAAGCCCCTACAGACTCAATGTTCAGCTTCAGTTATCAACTCATGGCCGGTTTTGTTTCATCTGTACTGGGAGCCAGCACATTAAAATGGCATGTGGACAAAATCTGGTCCTCTACCTGCTTTTGTAAATGAAGTTTTTTTTTTTTTTTTTTTTTTTTTGGGTATATGAAGTTTTATACAGCCCTATTCATATTTGTTGTTGTTGTTATTTTGTTTGCAGTGCTGGGGATTGAACCCAGGGCCTTGTGCATGTTAGGCAAGTGTTCTACCACTGAGCCATATTCCTGGCATTGCTCACTGTCTAAATATCATCTGCTTTCATACTTCAAGCAGAACTGATTAATTGCAACAGAGACTATATGGCCTACAAAACCTAAAATATTTATCTTGTGGCCCTTTGTAGGACGAAATTGCTGGTTTCTGATTTATAACCCTAATCCACCTCCCCCACACTCTGATCTAGATACTTTGGAGCATGTCTCATTATATCATTTACCCATATTTTAATATGTATTCATAAAAAAATATTATCATTAAAAATGATAAACCACAGGTTTATTAATAGTATGTTCTTCATATTGTCAAATACCTAGTCAATATTTGAATTTCTCTAATTGTGTAACAAATCAAACATTGATATTAACAGTATGTATCGCACACTTGCACTTTGTGTATTTACAAGGTGTGTGTTTGAAAGCAGTATGAACTCTATGAACCTGCTGTTACTGCCCCTTAACTCTCTAGTCTGTAAGGTAGACCTTGACCTGGTGAGTGTTTGTATGGAACTGAAGTAAAGATACAATTCTAAGGAAGGTTGGAGATTTACTTTTCTTTAAGTAAATTCAGTTCAGGTGGGACACTAGATGAATCTTTGTTCTTCCTGTGACAGTTTTAATGTTCTCCTCCAACTTATTAGTTCTTACTGAGTTTTAGGCAAAGAGCTTTGAGCCTCTGGCTCTTCATTCACTAGTAATAGTAGGGAACCCAGAGAGAACACAGTGAATTCTTACGATTTTATTGCTGAATAATGGGAGAAGTTCTGTCCTAGTGAAGTGTAAACCATGGTGAGAGCAACTTGGAAATTACAGATAGAGCCACTGTCTCAGCAGATTTAGTCACCAAGGAGCAAGATTGAGCCAGAGGATTCACTTTAGCAGGGCCCTCCCTTATAGCAAATCTCTGGGAAACATGTAGGCAGACTGGTCATTTTATCCAGGAGCAATGAATTGGACCTGGTAGGATGAATGTGGTCACTTGCTCTTTAGTCACTCTTAAGCAGTGCTCGGAAGTAAGCAGAGAGAGAGAGAGAGATCACTGTAGAACGTCAGGGTAGGGAGAGCCTCACAGAGAGTGGATCAGACTGTTGCAGGAAGGGTTGGACTTAGACCTAAGAATGGTAAGGCGGTCCAGGTTAAGAGGGAGAGTGGAGGGGCAGCATGTATGTGGAATGTGAAAGACATGTTTGGGGAATGATTCCTAGAACAGTTTTGTTGGAGTGAGTGGTTGGTGTGAAACAAAGATGCTCAGAGTGTATCCAGTGAGGCCCTTGGGTTTGGTGATGCCCACTGGAGTCAAAGATGGCAAAAAGATTGAAGGGGTCCCCAACCACTGTGCCATTTTTATGTATTATGAGTCTGCATTAGATTTCATCTGAAATGAAAGGTGGGTTATGCTACTTAGAAGTTTGAAGTTCACCCATCCAGAGGACTTCTAGTTAAAACATGTGGGTTGAATGTTTGTTTCCATTCTTCTTGAAAACCCACAGAAATGGCAATAAAGGTCTGAAAAAAATCAGAAACCTTAAAAAATAAGGACTGAAAGAGGCAAACAGCATATGGAGGAGATGTTAACAAGTTGAGTTGCTGAGAGATAAATGGCAGAGCTGAGAAAGCGGAAACCCAAGTCTGTAGTATGAGGTGTCCAGCAGGAAGCTGGCCAGCATGCCCTGGGGAGCCCTGGGAAACCTCAGCTATTACAGACACTAAGGAGGGCTGTGGAATGAGATTGAAGCCTGAAGGTCAGTTGAAAATTTGTGCAGTGAGTGGTTAGATTGTCAGGTTGTTGGCCATCATGCCATTCCTGGCCAACCATGCACACACACACATACAGGCACACACAGCCTCCTGCTGACCCTAAGAAGCTCCTCAGAGAGCAGAATCAGCCTTAGGGACAAGCCACAGCTGTAGGAAGGAATGAACTGGAGAAAGGGATTAAGTGAGGATGTGGTATTCAGCCCTTAGGAAAAAGACTAGAAATTTTTTATTGCTAAGAAAAATGATCAGTCTAAAGGAAAGAACTACAGATTGTCTATGTGGGGACCTTTTGATGAAACAGCTGAGCCTCTGCTGACCACTGTGCAGAGGAGCTACAGTCAGCAGCCCCACCTGAGCGCTCTGAGCTTCCAGTCTCATGGTAGTAGCTCTCTTATAAATGTGAACAAGCAGCCAACAATCGGCAGAAAGGGACAAAAAGGGACTTGGTGAAAACAGTATAGAGAGCTGAAAGCAAACAAACTGCAGCAAGAAAAACCCAACTATGATTAACACCCTCAAAGATTTGGGAAGAAATATGGGCTCTGTGCAACAAGAACAGGGGGCCATGAAATGATCCCTTCAGGAAGCAAGAGCTGTTAGGAAGTTACTGTGTGTGACAGCAGAAGTAAAGAATTCAGGGGCTGGAGAGATGGCTCAGTTGGTAGAGTGCTTGCCTCCCATGCAATTCAATCCTCAGCACCACACACACACACACACAAAAAAAAAAAAAAAAAATCAGGAGAATGACTGAAAGATAAATTTGGAGGTAAGAAAATTAGAAGTTGAATTTAGGAGATCTGGCATCTGAATACTGGTTCTAGCAAGATCAGAAATAGGATAAGAAATGATCAAAAAAAAATTTTAAAAAATCAAGAAAGGATCAAGAATTAAGAATGCTACAACAGCTGTAGAGTGAGACCATCACAATTCTGACAGAAAATGATTTCCTGTCTTGAAACCAACTTCTAAATCACCTTTTGTTCATTTTAACATTGAAGTGTTAGGGTACAAATAAAGGCATCTTTAGATACTCTGGCTTTCAAAAAATATTAACTTTGGTGTGTCCTTCATCGGAGTCTCCTAAATCATTTATTCCACCAAATAAGAGGAAGCGGCGGAAGAAGCAGCATGGGATGTAGGACACAGGGGCCTCAACTGAGAGAACGTGGAAGTTTCTAGCAGGAAGAGGAGAGACAGCTCAGGATGAGGGTGGAGAGCAGTATACAAATTAGATGAAGAGTGTGGAAAAGATGTGGCTGGGGGGTTGATGCCACCTAGATTATATCTAGACATTACATCTAGATGACATCGAGATTATGTCTAGAGTCAGTCCTGATTTCAAGTGAAGCTGGATCTAGCGGGGCAACGATGTTATGAGGGAGCTGACTTTTCTTCTATTCTTCTGCTTTGCCATCTACTGGCTCAGCTTCATATTGTATTTTAATCTGGGGCTGAATTAGTGATAAGTTCTTAAAGCCAAGCAGAAAGAAACAAGGCAGTTCTTACCTCCAGAAGAAAAGCAAAAGAGTTACCTGAGTAGGAAGTGTGTTTCTAGTATTCTATGTCATCACAATATAAATGCTGAATATTGATTTAATAATGATTTTCCATATTTAAAATGAGGGGAGGAGATGGCAGTTTGTGTAATGAGGGATAGAATATAATAACTTGATCCTCTTTTACATAGTGGAAAGTGCATAAGGAACAGGGAACACGGGGAAATAAATAATGGAACGGCATGTTGTTTAGAGGCATGGATATACATACATACATAGAAGAAGCAGGTGAGAGTTGAAAGTAGTTTCCTCTGGGGATCAGGGATGAGCAATGGGGCTCATATTTTTTATTATATACCTTGTTGTCCTGTTCACATTTGAAAGCCATATAGAGGCGATTTCTTTGATAATATAAATGACTACGTTGGAGAAGCTATGAGAGTGGTGGATAGCTCCACATTGTTGTGAGCCTTGAGTGCTAACTAACAGACCTTGGCTTATGGGTGGCAGGAACCTATAGTGTTTTTGAGCAGCAACAGGACCTTGAAGCCAACCCAATGTGGTAGTTCTGATGGCTGTTTATAGTCTGATTCTGCATGGGGAGATTAGCTCAGGGTGGCTGCCGTAGTCCAGGGGTGAGGTGGTACAGGCTGGATATCAAAATGGAAAGTCAAGGGCAGAGAGACAACAAAACAAGAAGCACTTGGACTGAGTGATATTCTGAAGTCAGCGAGGACATTGTGGTACAGTATCATCCTTGGGAAGAAAATGTGGGGAAGACTCAGACATGGGGAGAGCTGTAGCATTTATTTGAATACAGAGGGACAATAAGTTATCAAGGTATGGCTGTCTGGTGGCATGTAGGATCCAGATCCAATGTGGGAGCAGGCCATTGGGTTTGGGAACTGCTTGAGGGGAGACCACTTTTAGTGAGGTCATGAGTTTTAAATTGAAAAGATCATTGAAATGATGGCAAAAAAGCCAACTGAGAGGCTAACCCAGAACATCAAGGATCATTATGAAGGGATCATAATGATTATGCAAGTGACATAAAACTCCAGATGAGCAGAAATGAGAAAGGAATCAGGGAGCAGGATCTGCAGTTGTGTGGGGTGATACAGTGTAATCTCCATTAGCTTTCCTTTGCATAATCTTAGTCCTGTTTTCTTCTGTTGGTATCTCTTTCTTTCTTTCTTTTTTTTTAATCCTTTACTTCCCTCTTGGTTTTTCAAACTTCTGATGGAAAAGTTCAAGCATATTTCAAACTTGAAAGAGTAGTACAGTGAATCCTTTGCAACCCTCTTCTGGTTCTAACAATTAAAACCATTTTGTCTCATCTGACCTCCTGCGTTTCAGGGGAGGACCTGATGAATTTTAAAGCAAATTCTAGACATCATATCCTTCAATCCCAAAATATATCATGTATGTCTCTAAAAAAAAATGAGATTTTTCAAAAACACTCATCTCACCCACCACAATTATTAACATTTCCTTATGTTATGTCATACACAGTCATGTTCCGTGTCTCCAGTTGTCTTAAAAATATTTTTATACTTGACTTGTTTGAATCAGATCCAACCCCAAGGTCAACACATTGCTTTTGGCTAATATGTCTCTTAAGTCTCTCTTGATCTATAAGTTTCCTTGTTCCTTGTTTGTTTTTTTCAGTCCATTTATTTGTTGAAGAACCTTGGCATTTGTCTTACAGAATTTCTTTTACTTCGGATATGGCTGATTATGACCTTGTGGTGTTGTGGAACATGTTCCTCTGTCCCTTGTCTTTCCTACAAGCTGGTAGCTAGATAAGCTGGCTTGATTAGATCCAAGCTCACTTTTTAACTCTGAGGTATTATCTACATACAGTGAGAGGCACAGTGGTGTATTTCCCAGGTTTGACCAATGCATTCCCTCGTGTAACCCACCCCCGTCAAGATGTAGAAAACTAGCTGGGTGCTGTGGCGCATGCCGGCAATCCCAGCAGCTCTGGAGGATTGCCAGTTCAAAGCCAGCCCCAGCAAAGCAAGGCACTAAGCAACCAGTGAGAAACCCTGTCTCTAAATATTAAAATTCAAAGTAGGGCTGGGGATGTGGCTCTACGGTTGAGTGCCCCGGAGTTCAATCCCTCGTACTCGACCCCGCAAAAAAATAAAAATAAAAAAAGATGTAGAAAACTTCCATCACACTGGAAAGTTCCCTCCTAGTTCTTTTGGTCGCTTCTTCCCTATGTGTGTGGAAATCAAGTTATGCTTACCAAGTGCAGCTGAGACTTTCTGCTTTCTGTCTGGGGCCCCTCCCTGTCTGTGGGTATGTTAGAACCAACTTTGGAAAGGTCGCTTCCTCACCAAAGATAACATGAAGAGTCCTACTCTTCTTCCCAAGACCATACAAATGTTTCCATGGATACCTTATATTGGGAGGATTTCAGTCACAACTAACAAAAATTAGTATCTAATTGCTTAAATAATGAAGGAAATTTAATGACTTATATAACTGAAAATTCTAGATATAAATCCTGATTTCATGTGAAGTTTGATCTGATGGCTCAACAGTATTACCCAGGAGCTGGTTTTTCTTCCATTTTTCTGCTCTGCCATCCTCTGGATCAACTTCAAACTATGTTTGGGTCCAAAATGATGACCATTGGCTCCCAGGACTGTATGCTTCCTCACTCGTAGTTAGATAGACCCAGAGCCCATCTTGATTGTTCCAGATTGGATCTACATGCCCACTCCCTGTCCAGTTGTTCAACTGCGGCGCTGGGAACAGAATCAGTTTGCCCAGAGCTACAGGGATCCCCAGATGGAAATCAGGAGGCTGCTGGGATAACCACAGTCTGCCATGATCATCTAAGCCCCATTGGCCTCTGAAGGAGGGGCCTGCCTTGCTGTGCATCCAAGCTCCTGTGCTGCACCTGGCCTTCCCTTAGTCCCTCCTTGACATCCATCCTGAGATTTTTCTAGAAATTGGTAAGGGTCGGGTAATCCTTATATTCATTCTAAACTGAATATTTCCAGCTGGGAAAAACGCACAGACCCCCGAGGGCGGTTTTACTATGTGGACCACAACACTCGGACCACCACCTGGCAGCGACCGACAGCTGAGTATGTGCGGAACTACGAACAGTGGCAGTCACAGAGGAATCAGCTCCAGGGGGCCATGCAGCACTTCAGCCAGAGATTCCTCTACCAGGTGAGAGGACAGGGGCCTGCCACAAGGGAGGGCAGCCTCCCTGCACTTGAGAAGGTACAACCTCCCGTTTTCTTTGTAGACCCAAGTGGTGAGCACAGAAGCAATGGCTGGAGATGTCAGTGCTCTGACCCTGGGGATTTTACTCATCACCGTGAGATTCCTCAAATTCCAGTGTTTCTAACTTAGAGACTCCATGTCCAGCCTCTGGTTTAAGAAACAAACACGTCTGCAGCTAAATTCACAGACTTTCTTTCAAGACTGACTTTCTTTTCTTTCCTCTTCATTTCAGTCCATTCTCCCTGACTTGAAACCTGAAAGTCAGTTTTGACTTTGTCCATTCCTCACCTTTCTGAATGGAAGCAGTCACCCAGTTCTTCTTTTTCTACTGCTGCAATGTTTTTTTTTTTTCTTTAGATCTTTCTATGTGATAGATTCTCAAGGATGGAGGACCTCTAAAACAAACGATAGCCCAGGGGCCAAACTGGCCCACCACTTTTTTTTTTTTTTTTGTAATTATAGATGGACAGCATGCCTTTATTTTATTTGTTTATTTTTATGTGGTGCTAGGGATCAAGCCCAGTGCCTCACACATGCTAGGTAAGTGCTCTGCCACTGAGCTACAGCCCCAGCCCCCCGACCACTTGGTTTTGATAATAAAGTTTTATTGGGACACAGTCACACCCAGTTTATATGCTGACTGGGGTTGCTTCCGTGCTATTGCAGTGGAGTTGAGTAGTCATCAGAGATGGAATAGCCCTCTAAGTCTTAAGACATTTATAGAATGGCCTTTACAAACTTTGTAGACCCTAAATTTAGATCAGTCTCCTAGCTGGGCATGGTGGTGCACACCTATAATGCCAGTGGCTCCTGAGACTGAGGCAGGAGGATCACAAGTTCAAAGCCAGCCTCAGCCAAAGCGAGGCACTAAGCAACTCAGTGAGACCCTGTCTCTAAATAAAATACAAAATAGGACTGGGAATGTGGCTCAGTGATCGAGCGCCCCCGAGTTCAATCTCCGGTATCCCCCCTTCAAAACAAACAAACAAACAAACAAACAAAAACAGTCTCCTGTGTGATGCTAAATCTTTCTTTGCTCCCTCCTGTCCGAGTTGTCAGAGTCGCCTCTGCTGGCATTCCCTTGTCTGTCCTGCCTGTTCCCACCAGAGCAGTCTTCAAAAGCCTTACTCTCATTGCATCACTGTGCTGGCTCAAACCCTCTGTGGTCATTACCCACAGAATAACATTTAAACCTTCTAGTCCAGAATTCATGGTGTGCTGGTCCCAATCATCTATTGGTCTCCTACACTATGCCCTGTAGAAGTCCCCAGCCCCACTTCCTGGAGCCTCCATCAGTGACTTGGAACTGGGAAGAGTCCTGCTACATAGGCTGTCTGCCAGGGACAGGTGGATTTCCAAACTGGAGCGCTGATTGTGTTTTCCAGGGCACCTAGAGCTCAAGGTCAGGTTCATGGAGGCACCAGCACAGGAGGGGTCAGTGTATTGCAGACTGATGGCATTTTGAGCTGGACCAGTACTTTTAATTACCACATATAACCTTGTTTCTATTTGGAATGAATTTTAATCCTATAATCCATTTCTAAGTTAAATTCTATCCTAGTTAGATGCTCAGAAAATCTTTAATTCTATTTAATTGAATAGCAATCTTTTTTTAAAAAACAACTTTAAATCACTTTTGCCTTCATTTGTGGCTCTTCCCCTGATCATCCAAAGCAGGAGCTCCATCATCAACCTTAAATCATGGGAACGTCTCCCTTGGTGACCTAGTCCCTTCTGTCTATGGGGCCTGATTGCTCATCAGAAAGTGAGGAAACTGAGAAGGACCACAATTTGATGAGCAGAAAGTGAGGTGTTTATCATATGAAGTTGCTTCCAGGGTCCTCCTACAGCTGCTGATGCCCTGGTGGTCTTGCCAAGTGCAGCACTGTTTTTGTCCTTATGCCATGCTGCCCACCCCACAGCATGCCTGGCATCCACTTCTGGCTTATTTCAAAATTGGATGCAATCTCATCACTCTCTGCATTTCAGAGATTTCCTCTTGAGCCTGTTCCCAAAAGCTTTGCCTGCCATTTTCTTGGGTGGTCCTGGCTGCAAAACTGGAAAGATCTAGAGCATCTTTCTTCTTTGATCTGTCTGTCCTTTGACAAGGATACATCTTGGGGTTTCACATGGTTTTCTCTCCCTGATTGTCCAACTTCTTTAATTAAGAAAAAAATTCCTTTAATGGATACCATACACCAAATAGGTTCCATAGGTTGACTGAAATGTTTGGTGTCCTAGAGGAAAGATTCACAGCTTCTGATGCTTGTAGCCCCTTGGTCTTTATGGAACATTCTTTCCTGTTGCCTGCCTCTCATTTTAGTGACATAATTTCAGGCTTACAGAGGTAGAAGTTTGACTTGGAGGGCTTCTAAGAAGTAAAAATTCAATGCAAATTTTTTTCTCTTAATCTAAAACGGTTTTCTCAGCTCAGCTGGGGACATAGGAGGGTTCTGCCTGGGGTTAGGGGTTATCTTTTCTCTGAGAAACAAGGTTTATATTGAAAAATATGGTGGGAATCTGTTTTTGGTCTGCTTTCAATGTCTCTCTGTTGCTTTTTCTCCCCCTCTGGAGTTGGTTTTCCCCTCTTGTTTGCTATGGTGCCATGTCCTGGTTACAAGCAAGAAGGGTTGCTTTCATACAGTTATTTTGGGGTTTGGCCTTGGCCCAGGGTTTGACTCGGAAGACTTAAGAGCTGATACTGTACTGGCGGTTTCCCCTCCTCCCCCTCTTGCTGGGCTTAAACTGAGACCTCGTTCTTTGCTGCACTGCAGAGAACATGAAATACAGTTCAAAATGGGAGTCAAGGGAATCCCAGATTGCAGTCTCCTGTCGTTCCTTCCTGCTGTCTGCCTCCATGCATACCTTTTTCATGTTCTCTAAGTTATTGTTCTCCATATTTCTGGCAGGTTTTCTTTCCCTGACTCCTAATGTGCCTGTACTTTTGTTTCACCCTTGCACTCTCCTTTGGTCCCATGTTTGAGTTCCTGCTGTGGTCCATTGAGGATGCTGGCACACATGACTGTGTGCTGTACCATTGTGCCAGGACCCGTCGTGCAGCCTACTGTTTCCAGGGCACCTCTATCTTTATTTCAACTTTGTCCATCTCCCACCTTGTGACTAAAAGAAGAAGCCAGGGTCTGCAGGACTCATACTGATGGTTCTGGGGCTCCTAACATGTGGAATCAAATTGCACTATTCAGAAACAGACAACTTGCTCCTTATTCTGCAGAGAGTCCCTCAGACGGAATTCTCCAGAACCCATGTTTTGTTCTGAGTTCACTGAGTGCATCCTGCAAAGAAACAACCCTGATGCCTTCCTTCCTCGTTGCAACCTTTACGCCCTTCCCAGAACCTTTCTTGCCCTCGGCTGTGTTTGCTAGACATTCTTTATTTCTGAATTTGTATCTTAAAATATTACTGGGACTTTGTGCCTAGTTCCCAAGAGACTCGAATTCACGTGAGCTGTTTGGCTCATGGCCTGCACCCCAGATCTGCCAACCTGGGAACATTCCCCGGGAAAATGGTTCAGCTATACTCCTTTTGAGTTCCAGTCATAAAGGATGCTGACCTATCCCTTGGAATTACCTGCACATCCCAGGATCTTTCTTCTGGTAGTAATCCTCCTTGCTCTATTTGTGCGTTTTCACGGCTCTGCACCATGTGACACTTTGGGATCCCTTATTTCAGGGAAGTATGCTTAGAAGAGAAGGAGCTGATGGTTGACTCATCGGAGGCATGGGGTTTTTGACTTTTCTGGCCATGATGGCTTCTTTATATTTTTGTTTCTCCTCAACTTCTAATTACTTCTTTCCTTCAGGTTTTCTTTTATTTCAAGTTGTATTAAGTACCTTAGGGAAGAAATATCCAATATAGTCAAGTGCTTTGCTAGTAAAGTCCTAGGAGTGAAATAGGAGCATGAGCCTCCATTGATTTTGATTTCATGTTATTTGTGCTCATCGATATCTGGTCTTTCTCTTCCCCATCTCTCTGCTCTTCTCTTCCCTTCAAGGTGGGGAGGGCAGCTAGCAGGGCTCTGATAACTGTGAGAATGGAAGGATACCAAGGAAACTCCGTGAAAATTCAATTGAATGGAAGAGAACCAACGTTGTGTGTTGGGATATTAAAAAGAAAGAAAAAAAGACAAGGATCCAGGAAAAGGCTGATAAGCACATGCCTGTAGTCCCACGTGCCCAGGAGGCTGAGGTGGGAGGATCACTGGGTCTCAACAGTTCAAGACTAGCCTGGGCACTGCAAGACCAAGTCTCAGGGAAAAAAAAAAAAAAGAAAAAAGCTAGGAGTGGTGGCCTGTGCCTCTCCTCTCAGTTACTTGGAAGGCTGAGGCAGGATGATTGCAAGTTTGAGGCCTGGGCATCTTAAGTGAGACCCTGTTTCAATATAAAAAGCGCTGGGGGTGGAGTTCAGAGGTGGAATGCTCCTGAGTTTGATCCCTAGTACTGTTAAATGGTTTTCTGCTGTTGTTTTTGTTTTTTAAAGGGCAGGGATAGAGAGGCTCAGGGGTAGAGCACTCACTTAGCATGTGTGAGGCCCTGGGCTCAATGCTCAGGAAAAAAAAAAAAAAAAAAAAAAAAAAAAAAAAGACTGATAAATACTTTTTATTCCTGGTTCAGTGCTGTCAGCAAAGACCTTCTGGTCTGTTGATTTGTAGAGTTAAGCAAAAAATGACTGTAAGCCCACTAAAGCTCAGTTGGAACCAGGTGGTAGCTGATTTCTCCCCAGAGTTGAAGGAACTTGGATTTGATGAGATGCTGTGCCCCATCACTCCCAACCCCTCCAGCACCCAAACACACACCAAAATGACTGCTGTGAGTTGGGGGGATGCTTTTCAGTAGGTAGATAAATGTGAATTGTGATGGAGATAATTAAGCCCATCCTGGAGGCTGGTGGTAACTGCCCTAAATCCCCTAAATCAATCCCCTAAATCCAGGCCAGCTTTCCCGGCCCTTGTGCAGTATCATTCCATGTGGGAAGGAGACCCTGAGCTGAAAGGGGGCCCTGTCCCAAGAAGGACCTATGGTTTCAAGACTTAAACGTCTTTGTTGGAACTTACTTGGAAGAGGAGCTTGTGTTGCCACCTTGGAAAGAAAGTTTCTCTGTCCTTTCAGTTGGGGTGGAGGGAGGGCTGCAAAAAGGGGTTCTTTGGCAGTCGAGCTCTACCAATGTTTGCTCAAGCCAACACTGAGCTCCATTCATCCTCCTGCCCGTGTGTGGCTCCATCACCCCAGATGGGGCCAGCCCGGCAGCCTGAAGTCTGCATTTAGAACTTGATCCCCTAATATAACGATTAAATTTTAGTAAGTGAAATAAAAATGCTTCGGGGTAGGGGGAGAATAAGCAGAACAATACTTGTTTTATTTAACTATGAAAAGTTTTTGACAGCACCCCTCTTGCCCCGGAGGATCTGAGAACCTCCATCCTCTGCAGCCCTTCCTCAGAGACCTCCAGCAGAATTAGGCTGGGGGTGGGGGCTCTAATGTAAACAGCAACCCTGAAGTCCTGGAGCCGACTCCCCCTTCTCTCTCCTGTCACCCTGCCCCCGTCCCCCTCCCCAGACAGGCAGACAGAGAACACTAAGCAACTTCAGGTTCAGGCAGGGAAGAATAAAGGTGCTTTGTGAAGGGGAAGGAAAACATTCCTGGGGGAGGTGAGGGGCTTGGGGCATGAATGTACCCTCAGTCTGGGTGGATGCTGCACACCCAGGAGGTGGTGGGGGCTGGACCTGAGGTAGAGGGAGGAGGGTCCGCCCAGCCAGGAAGCTCTGGGCGTGGGCAGGGCTTGTGGGAATGATTTCATTGGAAAGGCCTGCGATATTTTTTCCCCTCCCATGTGTGGTTCTTGGAGAAAGTTGGAGGTGGTGGTGATTTCAGTCGCCTTGGCCGTCGCGGGCAGGAGCAGAGCAGAGGCCGTGGGCGAGCTAGCCAGCCGGTCTGCCCTGCCCGGAGCCCTCCTGCCATGCCCGGCTGGTTCCTGCCTCTGCCTCTGCCGCCCTGGCCCGCCTTCCTCTGCACACCTCTTCCTCCCCCTCGCTCACCCTTCCCCAAACTCATTTGGGCTCTCTGTGCAGAGTTCTTTTTTTTTTTTTAAACAAAGAGGAGCAGATGCCACCTGAGGCTCCCTGCATCCTCTGTGAAGTCTTGAAATGTGGAAGTGAGTCATTAGCATTTTTATTTTTATAGATTTATTTATTTTTAACTGGTGGCTTTTTTTTAACCTCTGTGTTCTGCTGTGTTTCTTGTGTTTAGTCTTCGAACCCTTCAGTTGACCATGATCCCCTGGGCCCGCTCCCGCCTGGCTGGGGTAAGTACTGAGTACTGAGTTCTTCTGTGCCCTCAGCCCTTGGTATGAGGGCCAGATGCTCTGTCCTCTTCTCCTGCGTGTCTTCTGTCCTTGCTCCCACCCCTCGGTGTCCCGTGTCACTTACCTCCAGCACACACTTTGGGGATGCCCAGCCTGAGCCATGACCAGTAATGGAGCTGGCAGCATGGAGGAGAAGCCAAGCTCCCATGTGCCTCTGTAGCATTCACCTGCCACAAGTAAAGGAGTGTGACCCTAAGAAAGACATCTCCAAGTAGCTATAGGACTGTTGAGTTTGGGTCCTGAGTTTCTAGGTATCTCTGCTCAGGACTCTATCCTGTCACTAAGATATTTTGACACTGATTTCCAGATGGCCATGTTTTGGGTCTGTAACTCTGGCTGGAGGGAGAGCCACCCTCATGACCCTTTCTTTGCCTCTGACATGTTGGAAAACTTCAGCCTAATTTTGACTAATAGCAGCCACTTTCTTATTTGTGACACAGCTCTGAAAGAGGCCGCGGGGAAGCAGATTGAGCACGGGCTAGTGGTTCTGAAAGTACAGTGTCGCTAGTTAATAACACCATGCTGGGTTTTCTTGTCATTGCTAGCTCCTCTTACCTCTTCCAAGTCCTGGGTGCAATTTGCCAAGAATGAGTTAAGGGACAGGTATCCATGCTTTAGGAGACATTACGGGCTTCAAGGCTATTCTAGGAAGGAGTGGCCATGCAAAAAGGGGTCATTAAGGATGGTGAGACTGGTGCATTCTGCAGCTGTCTGAACTGGGCAGGGTTTTGTTCAACCCTGCAAGAGCCCCTGAGCCTGAAGAGGGCAGTTTTCACAGGAATCAGAAGGTGTGATCTTTAATTTATTGGTGAGGCCAGCAGAAGACAATTGTTGCTGGTTGGTGGTGTTCACAGATGATGTTAAGCTGCATTGGGTACTCTTTCCCACAGAGGTGGGCAGGCGTGTTCTGGGAGGAGGACAATGATAGGATGGGCACCTGCCTAGAGAAGTTCTGTTTTGGGCTGTATCCTCTGGATGCAGACATAGCTGCTCTCTGGTAGTAATTTAAGAGGTGAATTAACTCCCCTGAACCCGCAGGTATCACTTAGCCAATTACCACCATGCTCCAAGAGGACCTTCTATCTTTCCAGTGGGAGATATCAGTTAGTGAGGCTTCCATATGTTTCTTGATCTCCAGTTTGGGAATCCCTGTGCTCACAGATGATCTGCCTGGCTCCCAGGACCAGTGGGTGGTCATTGTTATCTCAGGGATTTGCAGCTAGTGTGAGAGGGCAAAGACTCTTCAGTCCTTGCATAGACAGGGAAAGCGCATCAGCCTAAAGAAGGATCTATCATGCTGTTTGGCAGTAGGTGACCTGGAGCCAGGGTCCCGTATTTGTTTCTGGCTCCATAGAGGCAGGTGGTAGAGCCCAGACAGTGAGTTTATTTTTGTAGCAATTTTGCTAGGTGATGGTTACCAGTAAGCCCTCCTAGGTGCTAAGTGGGAAAATATTTGAGATGGGAATAGGGGAGTACTGGTTAGACACTGCTGTTTATAAACAATTGGAAAACACCATGTAAAGTGTGATGGTTCAAAATGAGAAAAAGAATATTGTGACCAGAGTCCAGGAAACCTTCCTTTGGGCTCCATATTGGCATCCCAGGCCTGTGGCAGGGGTTGCTGCCTCCCTAGGGAGGGGAAGAAAAGAGAGAGAGAGCAGCCAGGTCAAATAGAGCATCACTGACGGCCAGCCTGCTGGTGTTCCTGCTGCCCTCAGATCCTGGGTTCCTTTCTGCCACTCCAGGGAAGACCCATGGTGGTCCCCACACGCTCTTCTGGGAGTTGGGACACTGTGGGTTTAGATCCATGTCTGCACCTGGGCAGTTCTGCCCTTGGGCATGTGATAAATGCTCCGGAGGCCATTTGATCCTGGATCCAGGTGGAGCTGTGCTCATCAAAGGCCTCACCTCTCATTGCACATGTTGAGGCTGAATCAGTGGGCAGAGGCCCCTGCATAGAGGCAGTGCCAGCCATGATGAACCAGGCCTCAAGCCTGCTGGACAGATCCCTGGCCTGGTGGTCGGCCTTGGCTTTGGCCCCTTGCAGAGCAGCCATGGAGGAGCTAGTTCAAAGCAGTAGCTCCTGGACTGAGAGCGGCTTGTCCCTCAGGAACCTCCGGCAAGCCCACCTTCTGCACTGTCCCATACTGTCTGGTAGGGGAGCTCTGCAGCGTGCCAGCCGCCTCCTTTTCTTTCTACCGTATTTTCCCAGCTTTGCTAAGGTGTGATTGACAAATAACGTCTGTATGTATAGAAATCCAGTCGTGTACTAGATAGCAGTAAGGCAGAACGGAGATGGGTTGGGGGCCAAAACTGGGACTAGTGCAGCCTGGTCCTGGGGTGGGGGCTTCAGAAGAAGTTCTGCTTCTTTTCAGTTTTTGGGTTCCCTGTAGCTTCTGGAACTGATTATTGTCGTTTCTTCAATTTCACTCTGTCTTTGTAAAAGAGAGAGCCATCAGCATCATTTGTTTCTGGGACAGACTCAGCAAAGGAAGGCTCAGAAACTTCCCGAGGAAGGTGACCTCGTTGGAGTTTGGAGCTTTGCCTCTGTGTTTTCTCCCACCCGCTTGGCGCTGGTGGCTTACCCCACCCTCTGGGGCTGGGGGGAGGCTGGCAGGGTGTCCCTACTGCACACAGCTGGATGTAATTATGCCTCTGGTTCCGCCAGGCTGCCCCCCTCAGTGCCGCCACACCACCCCTTCCCTCCGACAAGCCAAACAATCGCAGAGGTTGGAACTGTATGTATCCCTCCCATCAACGACAGGGAGAGATTCTCTTTGTCCTTTTTCCCAGAGCCAAGTGTGAGTGAGCCAGGCTTTAGCCAGCTAAACTTCTCCAGCAGGTTGACTCCTGGGGCAGAGATTGAGACCCAGCACCCAGACAGGGGAGCCGAGGGAAGGTACTGACTTATGATGTTTGACTCTGATTGTGCTCGCTCTCCTTTCTTCTCCCATGGCAGAGAAGAGACAGGACAATGGACGGGTGTACTACGTGAACCATAACACGCGCACTACCCAGTGGGAGGACCCTCGGACCCAGGGGTGAGGACTGGGTCAGGCCATGCTTCTGTGCAGCTCTAGCATTGGCCAGGGGGTCTGGGACTGCATTCACCCTGCAATGCCGATGTTGAGGGACTTTAGCCATATACAAGTGCCCTGAGACCCTTGGGATATAGTGTCAGCCTAATGAGAGCTGGAAAGTGTTTCCTCAGATAGACCTTCCCAGTGGGTGGAGGGTGGCCACCAGCATAGCAGGTGCTGCAGTTCTCAGTACTGACTGAGTAGGGTGCTGAGAATTTGATTGAAAAGATATGAAGGAACCCCCAGCTCCCATAAGAAGCAGGGCTGGGCACTTGATGTCATAGGATTTCTGGTGTCCACTCAGACCAATGCCATCCGCCCAGGCTGGTATTTTTGCTTATGTCTTAGGTCTTCACAAGTTGGGTCGTGCCAGGTACCTACCTTTGAAGGCCCTGTCACGGCTGTACAGAGCCTGATTGAAACAGAGAAGCACTTGGAGGACCCCAGCCTCCTAAACAGAGGCCCAGAAGGTAGGGCTAGCCTTTGCACCCTCTTTTCCTATGCTTCCAGGATGATCCAGGAACCAGCTCTGCCCCCAGGATGGGAGATGAAGTACACCAGCGAGGGGGTGCGGTACTTTGTGGACCATAATACTCGTACCACCACCTTCAAGGATCCTCGCCCAGGATTTGAGTCTGGGTGAGAACTTTCACAGGCAATAGCAGCGTCCTTCAGCACAGGCCTCTGTCCTGTTCAGCTGGCTCGGGGAGGCCAGCTCTGGTTCCCATGACCACTGTGCTGCTCACTGCTCTCTAGTGGTCAGTGTTGTTCCCACCGCAAAGGGATGGGAGGAAGGGGCAGTCCTATTGAGGAAGGGGCAGTACAAACAGTACCAGTAATATTTCTCTGAAAGCAAGAGGTCTGGCATTGTTTCTAGATATTCTTTTTGACTCTTAGGCGCTCTTAACGGCTGACACTTCATTTCTCTTTTGCTTTACTGTACTCATCTTTAAATTCACAGAGCATCACCTTTCCCTAGGGCAGACAAAGACAGGTTGTTTATATTTTTGAAAAATCACAAAGATTCTCGAACACCTTTGCTCTTCCCAGGACCAAGCAAGGATCCCCTGGTGCCTACGACCGAAGTTTTCGGTGGAAATATCACCAGTTCCGCTTCCTCTGTCATGTGAGTTCTGGTTCTGGGGCCCCGTTGAGGTGGGCTGTTGCAGTCTCTCAGCCAAATTTCCCGGCCCAGCTCAGGCCTTGGAATGCCTCTGTCTTAAGAGAGCAAGCCCGTTCTCATCCTTGGGGAGATGCCTATTTATACAGACAGGAGACCACAGTGAGCAGATACCCCATGGGATTCTGATTTGAAGTTTTTCCTTTTCTTTTCAGTCAAATGCCCTACCCAGTCATGTGAAGATCAGTGTTTCCAGGCAGACACTCTTTGAGGATTCTTTCCAGCAGGTTAGAGAATAATCATGGTGTTGAGATTTGGGGCACGAGCTAGCCCTCCTTCTGCTACCTCCTCCTCTGTCGCACGACCTGCTGAGCCCACATTGTGGGGTTTCCAGGCCTGAGCCTTGGGAAGCCTGTCTGTTAGACAGTATGCCTCAGTGTCCCCTGTCTCCCCCCGACCCCCGCACCCCCTCCCCTACTTGCTGGCCAAACGCATTCTCTCTCCAGATCATGAACATGAAACCCTACGACCTGCGCCGCCGCCTCTACATCATAATGCGTGGTGAGGAGGGCCTGGACTATGGAGGCATCGCCAGGTGAGCTCGGGCGCCCTGGAAGAGYGCTGCCTCCCTCTTCCCTGTGGCCAGAAGGCCACCTGCACCTTACATTCATTCCCAAAGCTCTTCTGCGTCTTCAGCGGGGACCCTGGATGATGTCCTAAATGTCACTCTGGCCAGTCCCAGTGGGTGCTGGAGCAGGGTCAGGCATTAGCCCCTTAGTTACTGGGTCCCAAGAGGCTGGGGCTCCTGGGGACGGGCTCAGGACATGGCTCTTTCACCAGCCCCCGTGTCATTGTTTCTATTAACCAGTCCAGCTGTGTCCATGGACAGAGGCTGAGCAGCTGTGTGGATGTCCCTTAAATTTGGCCCTAGACTTCCCTTCCTCTCAAGGCATCCAGGGCAGGAAAGTCAAGTGTCTGAGAGCGCATGGCACGGGAGAGCTGTCGTGATCAGAGGTCTTGATCTGTACTCAGCTGCACGTCAAATGTCCGGGGTCAACAACGTTACAGTGGCTAATGTAACCCTAGAAAGAAGCCAGAGCACTGTCTTACCCTCACCCCAGTCCACCTGCAAAGGTCCACAGGCTCTCTGGGAAAGTGCTGCCTTGGACAACAGGGCCCAAGGCTCGACAGAGGAGCATCTTGGCCACGGACCGCCGGGCTCGCTGACCCTCACGGTGTGGGCTGTCTTCTCACTTGGTGTTGGGTTGACTCGCTTCTGGGGCTCTGTTTGCTGGTGGTGTTGCCTTCTGCGCTGGCCCTGTGGATGGACTGTTCTTTTCCCGTGGTGACCTCCGTCCCAAGCTCTGCTAGGTGGCTTCTGGTGTGGCTCCCGCCCTGTGTTTCTTTCTCTCTGTGTCCTGCCAGTGGTTTTACCCTATGGTAGGTTACGTCATGCTGTTCTACCACAGGGTAGAACCACGGACAGGATACCGGGGCACCCTCTGCATCGGACTCCTCGTCGACCCAGCCACACACAGCCCAGCAGCCAGGGACCAGCCCCTGGGGTGTCCCCCAGCCGGCTTAGTTCAAGCCCAAAAGGACTCTGAATTTTAACTTGAGGCTTGTACATAGGGTGCAAATAAATGCTGAGGCACGGTGTTGCTTCAAATGCATGTAGAAGTGTGGGAAAGGGTGTGGTGATGGGGTCGGGGTGAGGGGGCGGTGAAGTGTAAGAGCAAATGGGAATGAGGTCTGTGACCTGGAGGTAGCATGAATCACAGAGTTGTCGTGGTTCAGGACTCGGGGACATATAACCACTGTTCACCTATGCTGCCTACTCAGGTAGGGTGGTGGTTGCTGTCATACAGCATTTTTGCAGAAAAATTGTAATAAATGTGCATGTCTATGATACTTTAACATAGAGCCCTGGGCTGGGTATGTGGCTCAAGCGGTAGCACACTCGCCTGGCATGCGTGCGGCCCGGGTTCGATCCTCAGCACCACGTACCAACAAAGATGTTGTGTCCACCGAAAACTAAGAAATAAATATTAAAAAAAAAACAAACAAACATAGAGCCCTTGTGCAGTGCACAGCCAACACAATTGTGCATGGTGTGTCGGGGTGCAGGGAGCCATTTTGCCATTGGAAGGTCTGGTTGTTGTTGAATAAAGTCCTGGAATGTACCACCTGGAGCTGACAGGAATGCACACAGGTTTTCCTGAGCATCATCTGAAAGTGCTGTTGCCCTGGTTCATACTTGGTCTGAACCAAGCTGGCTCATGGCCCAGCTGATAATGTTGCATAGTCTGGGCACTGACTGCGGTGGACTCCACTTCTCAGGACACCGTCTCCAGACTGCCTGAGACACATGGCAGAGTCACAACTGCTGTGCGAGTGCATGGAGGGCTCCATTGTTCCTGTTTTCTCTCTTCCCTCACAGAGAGTGGTTTTTCCTTCTGTCCCACGAGGTGCTCAACCCCATGTACTGCTTATTTGAATATGCGGGCAAGAACAACTACTGCCTGCAGATCAACCCCGCCTCCTCCATCAACCCCGACCACCTCACCTACTTCCGCTTCATTGGCAGATTCATCGCCATGGTAAGGAAGCCCCAGGAGTGCCTTCCTCCTCCGCCTCCCCGTCCCGGTGGAGCATGCCGAGGGCGCCAGGGAAGTTCACTCTTCACTGAGGCTCCAGGAAGGCAGCCTCTGAGGAGGCCAGCCCCTAGCCACCTGAGGCAGTCCAGGCCCAAGGAGCAGTCCCATGGTTAGGCGCCCCCACTGTGGGCCTCACCCCTCTTCCTCATAATCTCCTGACCTGAAAATAGAAAGAGCTAGAGAGAGTTCTGGAGAAATCGGAACTGTCAGTGGCACCAGGAGTGGGGTGCCAGGGAGTCAGTGAAGGATTTCTTGTGTTGATTTGTGAAGGTCCCTGGGCCATGGGCTTAAGTGAGTCCCCATGGTGGAGGCAGGACAGTGGCTGAGTGGAGTGAATCCGTAACTACCTCCTACTGCCTGTCTCTGGGAGGGGCCACCGTCTGTCCTGAGCAGTGGCTGGGAGTGTTTGGGAGTGTCCCACTGAGACAGTGAGGGATTCTGGAAGGGGATTTGGAATTAGCGTGGGCTTAGAACAGAGCCGCTGTAGACAGGTCATGCCAGGTTAGGTGGCACCCATCGTGGGGCGGGACTCATGGTCTGTGTGTATCTATCTAGAAACAGGGGCTCGGTGTGACTGTGGAGAGAGGGTCATGCCAGTTCCCCATAGTGAGCATCTTGGCAGAGCCAGCTCTGCTGCCTGCTGGGTGGCTTGAGATGCTTCAGAGCCGACTTTCCTTCCCTATTCCCCTGACTGCCTGAGGTCTTGCCCTGCTCCCCTCTCTGGAGGACCCAAGGGCCCTCAGGGTTTGTGACTAAATATGGTGCTTCCCCTCCTCTGCAAGTTCTTGGCCAAGGTGCTAGGCTCCGGGAATGGGCACATTCTTCCCAGGTCTAGAGACCTGCTTGGCCCAAAGCTGACGGGACAGACCAGCGAAACCCTAGACTATTACTCACTGCTGGCCGCCAGCTGTCTCCATCCGTGCGTCTGCATTATTTTTGGCCACCTCTGCCACCAGTTCTGAGCACCAGTGAGTCAGGGCTGCCACCTGGAGCTGTTTTGAACAAGTCTTCCCTGAGACCATGGGGCAGGCCACTGCTGGCCCGGGAACAGCCTGGCTGGCATGCCATGCAGGCAGTGAGCTGGCTCCACTTGTCCCTGTGGCCTGTAGGGTGGGACGAGAATCCATCCCAAGGTCCAAATCAGGACAGAGTAGTCCTTATTTCCCGGGCCCTCCCTTTGCCTATGAGGCACCTGGCTGCTCAGGTTCTATGAGGGAGGGGAGGCAGCAGTGGCCTTCGATATGGAGTATCTACCAGCTTGCCCTGGGCACTGTCCCAAGAAGGCCAAACCTCTTTGCCATGTGTCTTCCTTCCTCAGGCCCTGTACCATGGAAAGTTCATCGACACAGGCTTCACTCTCCCTTTCTACAAGCGGATGCTCAACAAGAGACCAACCCTGAAAGATCTGGAGTCTATTGACCCTGAATTCTACAACTCCATTGTCTGGATCAAGTAAGCCCCTTGTTTGCCCAGGGCTGAGGGAGGCAGGGCTCTGTCTGGGCAGTGGGTACCCGCAACCGTGAGCTCCTCTGGCAGAAGCCCATGAGCACTTGCCCAGCCTCTCCAAGTGCCTGTGGAGATAGAAGCTTCTAGGTCCCCTGTAGGATGGTTCTAGAGTTCTCTCCTTGCATCAGGAGAGGTCCTGTGCCACAGTTCAGGATTCTAGGCCATCTTGGTGCCCTATGGGCACTAAAAGTGAGAGGTGGGGCTAGACACAGGAAGACCCTGCTAAGATGGACATCTTCCTCCTTGGCCTACTGTGCTCCAGAGAGAACAACCTAGAAGAGTGTGGTCTGGAGCTGTTCTTCATCCAGGACATGGAGATCCTGGGCAAGGTGACAACCCACGAACTGAAGGAAGGTGGCGAGAGCATCCGAGTCACAGAGGAGAATAAGGAAGAGTACATCATGTAAGCCTCAGCCTCAGGGAGGGATGGGGAGGGGTTTGAACTTTGAACCCAGCAGGTTCTCTCATCTCCTGGATGCCCTCTTCAACCAGGCCTCCACTGGTTGAAGTGGAGCCCTCCTGGGCTCTTGGACACCCCAGGTTGCAGGAACCTCCCAGTCACATCTGCCTTGGTGTGGCTGGTCAGGTGATGATGCCACAAGGGTTGCTGGAGCCCCAGACACTTGGTTACCTGCTGCTGGTTGCTCTACTAGACATGCGGGGGACTTCCTGACTGCAGGGAATTTCTTGGACGATGCTTAGCTCAGACATTGCCATCTCTCCCCTGATCAGGAAGATGGCTGTGTCCTGTGTTCTTAAATCCATGGTCTCAGTGCTCGTGTGCAAACCTCCTGTGTACGACCCTCTATCCTCTTGGTCTAGTCCTTTAATCTCCCCATTTCCACACACTTGAGGTTCAGCGAGTGGCAGTGGGAGGAGGGACCCTCAGGGTCACCTTGAGGTTTGTGAGGCTGCACCCAGGTCTTCAGTACACTGGTTCTGGTGTTTGACTCTCAGAGCCTTTGTTGATGCTGTGTCATATGGTCACATGGGCAGGCTGGGAGCACATGGGGTCCTGGGCTCCACCAGTGACTGGTCTTTGGCTTTAGGCTGCTGACTGACTGGCGTTTCACGCGGGGCGTGGAAGAGCAGACCAAAGCCTTCCTGGATGGCTTCAATGAGGTGGCCCCCCTGGAGTGGTTGCGCTACTTTGATGAGAAAGAGCTGGAGGTGAGTGTTGAAGGTCGTTAGGACCCGCAGCTCCTGCTCCTTGAGGTGCTCCCTGTGCACCCACAGAAACTCACCAGCACTCTTCAGCAGGACAGAGGCAGCAGGGAAGATGGGTTTTATTGGGGTTCTCTGCCCCCGCCCCCGACACTGGGGCTGGTGTTACCCATGGCATTGAAAGAACCTGCAAAAGTAGCTGGTTGAATAGGCTGGGGACTCTCACCTGCGAGTGAGGAGTGACATGGTGTATGGGCCCCAGGCCTTGCCGGTGGGTAGCGGCTGGCACTGGGGCCACTGACGTCTTCCTGGCTGCAGCTGATGCTGTGCGGCATGCAGGAGATAGACCTAAGCGACTGGCAGAAGAACACCGTCTACCGGCACTACACCAAGAACAGCAAGCAGATCCAGTGGTTCTGGCAGGTGGGTCCTGGCTCCTATCCCCAGGGGGCCGGGGACAAGGGTTGTGACAGGGAGGGATGTTTTAGCAGTCACCCAGAGGAAACAGGACCTGATTAGACCTCAGGCTTAAGGACCCTTTATCTTGGGCACTCTGCTCACCTCCCCAACTTGCAAGGGGATGGTACACTGCCTCTAGCCGAATGGAGGCTATCGTGGCTGGACTGGGGCCAGGGCATGTGACAAGAGGTTGGCTGTGGTCAGCCTTGTGCTTTGGGGGAGAGTGGGGGTACCTTCATGCAGAAAGTACAGCTGCCATTGGTCATGTGGCAGATGAGATGGGAAGATAGGTGCTAGGCTCCAGAGAAATGGGATGAGCTTGTCATGCTGTATTTAATGACTTCCGATCTTTATATGTGTGGGTTCCATTGTTGTTATGAAGTATAGCATACCTAAAAAAAGAAATGTAACATATCTTTAGTATATGTGTCTGTATGCACGTGCCCACGTGTGTGTAAATTTTTTGTGGAGGTGAAATTCACATAACATTCAGTTCATTTTAAATACCTATGTATATTTTTTGGTACTAGGGATCCAATCCAGGAGTTCTTTACCAATTTGCTACATTCCAGCCCTTTTTAAAATTGTTTTTCTTTCTTTTTTGTTTTTTAAATTTTGAAATAGAGTCTAGCCAAGATGCTAAATCTAGCTGAATGGCTGAGGCTGGCCTCGAATTTAGAATCTTCTTTTCTCAGCCTCCCCAAGTCACTGAGATTACAGGCATGTGCCACCATGCTTGGCTCATTTTAAATATTTTAAGACAAACAATTCAGTGATTTCTAGAACCTTCACAGTGTTGTGCAACTATCACCACTGTCTAGTTCCAGAATACGTTATTTCCCCAAAAAGAAACCTTATACCCATTAAGCAGTCACTCCCATCTTTAGTCTGTTTTTTAAAGTGGAACTTGGATAGGAAGAGGATGCCTGGCCAAGGTGTCTCATGGACACAACCTCTTAGAGAAGCAACTTTGAGGTTTCCCAGGTTGGTGGCTGTCACCCTGCCCAAGGTGGCTTTGTGTCCTCATCCCCATAGAGGGCCCTGGCTGGGTAAAGCATTGCATGTTAAGGGAATCACAGACCCAGCGGGTCTCTTGACTGTGCCTTGGCTTGTGAAATTACAGGTGGTGAAGGAGATGGACAATGAAAAAAGAATCCGGCTATTACAGTTTGTTACTGGAACCTGCCGCCTGCCTGTTGGGGGATTTGTTGAACTCATCGGTATGTTTTCCATTGCCCTCTTGGTGCTCTGGCTGGAGACAATAGTCACTGGAAGCAAGTCATTGGGAGAGGGAAGAGCTGTGGCCCCCTTGAGCTGGACTGAGCATCTGTGGGTGGAGCTGGAGGGCTCTGCTTTGGGAAGGCTACTTCTGTTGATGCACGGTTGTCTTGTCTTGGATAACAGGGAGCAACGGACCACAGAAGTTCTGCATCGACAAGGTTGGCAAGGAAACCTGGCTGCCCAGAAGCCACACCTGGTGAGCATGCTGGTTGGGTGGAAGTGATGGATCCTCACAGACCAGATGAGCTCCTTCCAGCCCCAGATGTGTGGCAGCTCCAGAGCCTCGACTCTGACATTGGCATGGCCATAGGGATTTGGGTTGGAGAGGTGGGCCGTGACATAAAATGCCAAGTTCTACACACTGAAACACTTTTGTTCCAGTAGGCAAGAGCTACTTCCCCAAGTGCCCACTTCTAGTGTTGTTCCCACTGTCCCATTCCCTCTGCTAACTCCCCGAAGGTCTAGGAACCTAGATAGCACTGGGGCCTGGCATGGTGGGCCTTCTACCACCCTGCCCTGGGTCTGGCTAACTGGTTCTGCTGGCGCTCATCCAGGCCTGGGTAGAGCTGTTGGAGTCCTGGCTACATGATGCTACATGCTGCTCTCCCTCCCAACAGCTTCAACCGCCTGGACCTCCCGCCCTACAAGAGCTATGAACAACTAAAAGAGAAGCTGCTGTATGCCATTGAGGAGACTGAGGGCTTCGGACAGGAGTAACAGGCCACCTCCATGCCCCAGCACACATGTAGTCCTGAGTCCTCCCTGCCTGGAGGCCACAGGCCATGCAGTCCTTGGGAGGCCCCTGTAGATGATGATCCTGCGTGGAACCACACTGTCGTCATGCTGGTGGCAGAAGAGCCCGACCCTAGGAGGCCCTGCAGCCCCCTCCCTCCTACCTGCTGGTGGTAGTCTGGAATAAAGCCCCTCATCACCTTTGACCCCATCACCCATTGCAAAGTCTGAGGACTGACCTCTGCAAAACTCCCTCCCGCTCCCCTAGGACCATCCTGGGTGTCTGAGTGTGGAGGGAATGCACCCTGCCCTGATGGGCTGCAGCAGAAGCCCAGGCCTCACGGGCTGGTTAGGCGAGGAGTTTGGCTACTCGGGTGGCTGTTCTGCACTGAGGAAGCCAAGGGTCTTTGTCAGCAAAAGAGGTTCTGTCTTAAATAGAACTTTCCAGGGATCTGTATGAAACGTGGTTCTGAGGGAAAGCCTGTGTCAAGGCCATCTTCACCTCACTTCCCTTCCTGGCAGGTTCCAGCCACAGAGAAGCCGCAGGGACTGGTGCCGACAGCTCAGGTTGTCTCTGCCTGGCAAACCAAGGATTGGACAAGCTGCCCGCCTGGGTCTCGGGGGGAGGGGGAGGCAGCAAAGCCCCTCAGACTGTTTTGTCCTTTACATAAACTTGAAGCGTTTGTGTGTAGGGTTGCTTTTTGTTTTGTTTTTGATATGCTGCTGTCACTTTCTCTCAAGGAGCTGGTGCCCCAGGTGTCCTGGGGCCTTGAGGGCCCTGTCCCCCTTGGTCCAAGAGTTTCCAGAAGAGCTGCTCCTCTCAGGAGCCTGCTTAGCAGTTCCATGAACTCAGGTGGGCTTGACTCCGTGGCTCCGTGGCACAGCGTCCAAGTCCCTGAACTTGAAGGAAAGGGTTGGTGTCCTGAGTTTCACCCCCAATGTCACACCTTTGTTAGAAACAAGATCCCTTTGCTGGATACAGTCACCCAGCTGGCCCCCAGGGAGGAGTAAATGGGTCTGAACTGTCCCTCCCTGACAGCCCCTGGAGCTCCAGGTGGCCTGTTAGTCCCCTGCTTAGAATGAAGCACATCCTGGCCAGCTGAGTGTGTTCATTCTGCATAGATGTGAGGCTTTATCTGCAGGTGGGAAATGATGCCATTGAAACCCACAGCAGGAGCTCCCAACGCTGGCAGGCCAGACGCCTCTGCTTTGGGGATTCTGCTTTTGAAATCTGCAGGTGCTTAGGCTCCTCGGGATGCTGCAGGAGGGATGGTGGTGTACTCCCTAGTCCAGGCCCCCAGGGTTCTAGGATGATCCCCCAGCCTACAGACCTGCTTTCTGAGACTCCAGGCAGGCTCTCAGACTGGTCGTGGGAGCCTTCTGAGGACATCCTCTCCTTCCCACATCTCATTCTTCCCCAGCCCGTGGAGGTGCAGCCTGTGTCCACCATGTTGCACGTGCTGATTTGAATGGCTCAGCTCGCTGCAGCTCGGCCCTTTTCCTCCCTTCTAGTCACTTGCAGTACTTCCCAGCGCATGTCACCACGAAGGCTGCTCCGTTGGGTGGGTAGGGATGCAAGCTGCCAGGGAGGTTTGGGAGCATCAGGCTCACGGCTGTTCGTGTGAGTTTGTGTGTGTGGGCGTGCAAACGTGTATATAACTGAAGTGTCTGTGCAGACTGCCCCACGGTAGCACAGGGTTGGTCACTGGGTTGTTTTGTAATGCCCACCCTTGCCTTGGTATAGCCAGTTTCTTGTGCAATAAACAATCAGCAGCTGTGGGTGGTGTCGGTGTGGCTGTCTACAGAATCACTGTCCTCCAGCCAGAGGCCGCTGGGCCCCCAAGGCCTGCCAGGATAGAATGGAAATTCCCCGGCCTTGCTGGTTCTGAGAAGCGTGCATGCTGTTAACAGGGACAGCCTGCTTCTGAGGTGGCCAGCTGGGATCACTGGCCTCAGCCCTCGGTCACTGCCTCACTACACCCCTTTGGCAGCCTCAGCCCTCCAGCAGGATGGGGCTGCTTCAGGAAGTTGCTGAGGGAGCAGAGTTCCATTCATGAAATGCTGAGGATGCGCAGGTCCTGGGACGAGTGAGGGACTTCTCATATTGAACTCATCGTCACACACGGGCTTGCTACCCACTTGTTTTTGACACTTGAGGGTTTAAAGGTGGAACAGATCACCACACTGAAGGGTCTTGATACATTTGACATAGAAATGACTTTGTTGTAGACCAGTTGTCCTCATTGTGCCACTTCTCAGGGATGCAGAAATGTCCAGAGCGGGCCCCCTCCCTGGAATTCATTGGCTGAATTCACTCCCCCCAGCTCCAAAGCCCTTTTTTCTTTTCTGCCTTTTTGGTGCTGGGGATGGAACCTGGCATCTCATGCATGCTCAGCCCGTGCTCTATCACTGAGCTAGGTGGCCTGCACTTGCAAAACCATTTTTTCACTTGACAGGGCAACACTGTAATTTGACAAAATTATTGAAGAAAGTCCACGTGTTGTGCAGACATCTCATAGTAAGTTAAATAAGAAATCCTCCTGTGGAAATTGTTCTCCCAGGTCTTATCCCAAGGGTAACCGCTATTTAAAGTTGGCTGTGGTCCCTCCAGACTCTTTTGTGTTCATAGATGTGCACATATAATTTTTAAATATACTCATCGTATCATACATGTTGAGAAACTCTTTTCATTAAAAAGAGATATTAGGGATGCCTTTCTATGTTGGCCAGTGTAGGTCTACTTAATCTTTCACTGTGTGATGTTCATATCCTACTCCCTATTGCCGTCCCGAGGTGTGGTGAAGCTGTGTGCAGCAGCTTGCTGCTATCTGCACAGCTTTTGTATAGACCCTTGGGCAGGTGACAAAGATAGGAAGGCTCTTCAGTAAAGGGCCCCCCTCCCACTTTTGCCACTCTGATCCCCTCCTGGAGGTAAATGTTGCAGGCTTTTTTTTTGTTGTTGTTGTACTGGAGATTGAACTCGGGGCCTCTCAACCACTGAGCCACATCCCCAGCCCTATTTTGTATTTCATTTAGAGACACGGTCTCACTGAGTTACTTAGTGCCTCGCTTTTTGCTGAGGCTGGCTTTGAACTCTGATCCACCTTCCTCATGTTGCAGGCATCTTTTGGATCCCTCTAGATAGATTAAAAGTCCCAACAGGTTCTACTAAATTGCCCTTCGGAAGCATTCTTGCTAGCCGGTTGTGGTGGTACACATCTGTATTCCCGATTCAGGAGGGTGAGGCAGGAGGATTGAAGGTTCAAAGCCAACCTCAGCAACTTAGCAAGACCATGTCTCAAAATAAAAAAAAAGGGGGGGGGGCTGGGGATGTGGCCTAGTGGGTTAACTATCTTGGATTCAAACCGTTCAAACAAAAAAAAAAAAAAAAAAAAAAAAAAAACCTAAGCATTCTTGCTTTACTAGCCTCACCATCATCAACAGGGTCTCTTGTCACCTGCTTTGCAAACTGTCCTTTTCCATTTCTAGCTCTGTGCACCTGCCTTTCCACTTTTACACAATCAGGTATTTTAAAAAAATTTACATTCTATTGTATAACGATAATGAAATCTTCTGTACTTTACCTAAAGGTTTATTTTAAAAGCTGAAAAACAAAGTGTTTCTATTACTAAAATTACATGGATAGTTTACTAAGTAGTATAATGCCATGATTTCTCGCACAGCTCTTCCCTCCTAGGTTCATAATTACCTCTATTTGCTTTTATTATGTGCTCTAAAATGTTGAAAATAAAATTAAGTAGGGAGACTCCGACCCTGATAGAATTAGCCAGAGAGACACGATTATTTTGGAAGTGAAGAGGAGGAGGAGTGCCTTTGGCACCCAGATGCCAGGAAGCCTGGATAGGAGGCAAGTCCTCACCAGCTCTGGAAAGCTCAGTTCTCACTCCATACCACTGCCCTGCTAGATGCTGGGGCTCATGTCACCTCCCTAGGAAAACTTACGCAAAAGATCCATGTGTTTGCATTTAAAGGAGGGCTCATATGTAGTGAACTCTCCTGGTGATTGGCCAGACTCAGCATCCACAAGGCCCCATCCTCTTCCTGAGGAACCTTGATAATGGGAATTCAGATTCTTAGGGCAGGCTGTAGGGAATGCTCTTAGTCATGACTTTGGGTACTGACCCATTTTCTGGGGTTGGTTCAGGTAGGTACCATAGTCAAACACTCACTTCCCTATAGTTCGTGCCTATGAGGCAGACATCAACCAATGGATTCAGATGGTAGCATGTTTTTTCTTTGACACACTTTCTAATATTTGTAACTTGCACATCATCATGGACCCAGGGTCTAACTTAATCTCAAAGGATTCTAGTGACTCGTTTAAAAATTTTTTTTTTATTATGGTAAAATACAACAAAATTTTATTATATCAACCATCTTTTAGGTGAATACAGTTTGGCGATACTAAATGCATTCAGAATGTGCAGCCATCCCCATCATCCATCTCCAGTGCTTTTTCATCTTATGAAACTGAAATTCTGCATCCATTAAACAATGACTCCTCAGTCCTCCATTCTCCCCAGTCCCCAGCAACCAACATTTTATTCTCTACAATTTTGATTACTCTTAACTACCTCATACAAATGAAATCTTAATGTTTTTCTTGTTGCAATTAGCTTATGTCACTTAACATAATGTCCTCAAGGTCAATCCATATTGTAACATGTCAGAATTCCCTTTCCTTTTAAAACTGAATAATAATCTGTAGTGTGTATAGACCACATTTTTGCTTATCCATTCTCCTGTAGGTGGTCACTTTGGGGTTGCTTCCATGTTGTATCTACTGTAAATAATGATACTATGAATATATCTCTTTGAGACCCTGCTTTCATTCTTTTGGAAATAACCCAGAACTGGAATTGCTGTATTACATGATAAGTCTGTTTTTAATTTTTAAAGGAACTGCCACATTATTTTCCACAGCAGCCCTGCCACTTACATTCCCACCAACAGTGCACAAGTGTTCTTTTTCCCACATCATAGCCAGTGTTTGCTATTTTTTTTTTTTAATAGAAACACCCTAATGGGTGTCAGGCCAGGTAGTATCTCATGTAGTTTTGATTTGCATTTGTCTAGTGTTTAGTGGTGTTGACCATCTTATTAACCATTTATCTTCAGAGAAATGTCTATTCGAATTCTTTGTGACCATTGCTTTCTTTTTGATGTTATAATTTGGTTCCTTTCATTGACTCTGCTGTCATCCCTCTGGATATCTTTCCAACTAATTATACTCCCAACTTTAGTTTTCTTGTCTGAAACAGAAATAACTACTCTGATAGCCCTGGTTCTTTGTATTTAAAAAAATGTATTAGAAATCCGAAAAATGGGGTTATTTCAAAATGGCACAGTGAATTCACATTTGATCATCTTCTACAATAAAGACACACAGGACTGAAAAGACTGGTCCAAAAAGAAGGCAAATGGTTCCACGGGCCAGAAACAGAACCAAAGTGCAACATATTGAGCAAAGTTGAAGCTGTGGCCTGCTGCATCTGGAGCTTGGTGGTGGTGGTAGCTGAGAATTCCTTTCTGTGGGTGAAAGGATCTGAAGAAGCTCCAACATAGACAGGAGATGGGGACAACTGTCACTGCTTCCACTCACTTCATGAAAGCAGGTCAGCCAGCAAACAAAGGCACACTGCCCCTGTTGTGCATCTGGGCTGTGGCTTTGAGAATGACAAAGCAGATATTCACCAACCCAAACCCATCCTGAGCTGGGTCTGGGCTATTCCCAGGTCACTTCACGCCAGGGCCCCATCTGCTTGCCATTGGAAGATCAAGCTGTAGAGTGTGGATGGCCAGAAGAAAAGGAGGAGGCAGCAGCAAAACGCTTACCAGGAAGGAACAACTGCTTACAATTTTTGGCTCTCTATATGTCAGAGGAAAACAGGCATGGGGTGTCTTTTACCTTCTGGTCCTCTCCATGAGGGTTTTAGGTGGAAAGTGGGCCTTTTTACTGAGGCCCCCAATGTCATTGTATAGGAGGGGTCTCTTCTTGTGAGTGACCAGTTACTCTAGAGATAGAATACTAAGGTTTAAATGTGTCCATGTGTTGGAAAATGTGATCCCCAAATTCTTATGTTCATAGTATTTGGAGTTGGGGCCTTTAGAAGGTGATTGGGATTAGATGAGGCCAAGAGGGTGGGGACTCCATGGTGAAAATGAGTGTCTTTATAAGGAGGGGAAGAGACCCAAGCTGGCAGGCTTGCTCTGTCTCACCATGTGATGCCCTTTACCATGTTATGAGGCAGCAGGAGGGTCCCCACCAGATGCTGGTGCCATGCATTTGAACTTCCAGGTCTCCAGAACCATGAGACAAATAAACTTCTTTTAGTTCTTTTTTATGTGTGCATGTGTGGTGGGATACGGGGATTATACCCAGGGCCACTCTACCACTAAGTTATATCCGCAGCCCTTGTATTAATGCTTTATTTTGAAACAGGTTCTCAAGTTGCTGAGGCTGGCCTCAAACTTGCCATCCTCCTGCCTCAAGCTCCCAGGTTGCTGGGATTACAGGTGTAATCCCAAACCCAACCAAACTTCTGTTCTTCATAATGCTGATTTCCCAGTCTCAGAATTTTTTTGGTTTTGGGTTTTTGTTTGTTATATCAACAGAAAATGACAGCAAAGTGAAGAGGAGGAAATCTCTGAGCCAGGGTACACCTGTCTGTGGGCTTCCTGGGAACAAAGA